CAAGAGAGTTTAACAAAGAACAAAAAGTATCGAGAATAAATATTTTTATTGATTGATAGACCACAAGCCATCTGATTCAATTGGGCATTGAACCAAATAAGGATACTGACCACATCACATCCCGGTCGAGCACAGGTCAACTGTATATCACACGGAGACACAGACACACACACACCTCAAGCAGCCCAAACACAGACCTTCAATAAGCAGTACGCACTAACTGCCACATTAACTGCACAGGCCAGGTTCCCGGAGCAGCCGGCTGAGGCGAGAGGCCGGTTCTGTGACTCAGGGTTTGGTTTCGGGGGAGCGGAGAGGCCTCCATGCTACCCATGAGGACGGTACTCTAACCTGAACTGCTACAGTGAAACAGCCAGCTCTGTGAATCGCTCAACTGATTAAAAACGCCCGCTGAACATTTCTAAATTTGGGGGTGGGGGATTCTTCCATATTCTATGATTCCAGTTGCTGCTGTACCTAGAAGCAGAATTTACACAATATAAATGTTATACCCCAAAACCACACATGACACATGTATTTTGAGGGTCAAAAAAAATAAGCAAACCCAATGAGTCACGGTGGGCTTTGAGCTCCGCACTGCATTGCTACACGTTCTCAGGGACAGCAGACAACTGCTATTATCAACGGATGGCATGAAAAGGAACAGAGATTAAGGAGAAGCCAAGACGTCAGAGCCGATTGGAAAGCGGCGGCGCGAAAGCGAGTCCCAGCAGGTCCTGCTGACTGCATAAGCCGGGCGGCACTGCAGGTGGCTGTTATGCAAGAGGGCAGGCAGGCAGAGCGCAGACAACGCAGCCAAGCAGCCAAGCATCATGCAAAAAGCAGAGATCAAGATTGGGGCGGAAGACTGAAGCCCGCCGCCTAGGGGGTAGACATGCCATCGCAAGAACGTGATATTGGGAGGGGGTCCTCTGTCTGCCCTAAAGCAGTAATCATCATGGCTGGGGGGGGGCGGGTGTAAAGGCAGCCGTCCTTGTACCCAAGGAAGATGATAGCAGCAACAATGAGAAGCTCACACACCATCTCGCACCAGCAGGGGAAAAGCGAACATGAAATACGAATCCCGCCAGGTCTGTCACACAAACATTTCCATTTAAGCTGGTTTTTCATGCCCCCCCCCCCCTCCTCCTCCCAGGTTAAAACTTCAAACCGGTTTTATATTTACTGCTGTCCAGCCTCGTCTTGGACTGTAGTTAATTACAGTGGTATGCAGAGGGCATGTTTCCAGCCTGCCCCCTACCAGCAGACCGACAGCGGGGGGGGGGTTCACCCAGGGCAATGGGATGGGAGCATCGGCCAACAGCGAGGCGGGGGGGATTCACCCAGGGCAATGGGATGGGAGCATCGGCCAACAGCGAGGGGGGGGGGTTCACCCAGGCTAGAGGAATGGGACTATCAACTGACAGAAGCCTGTCCAGAAGGCAAGCGGGCCGATCCCTACGTCGCTGCCATCTTCCAATAAATCCCCTTGTTCGATGACTGAGGAAGGACTATTTTTTTATTATTCAAACAGCAACCGAAAGCACATTTTTCACAATTCAAGATTCTTCAGAATAAAAAGCTAGTCTAAAGCAGAGGACAAAGTCCTACCGAGACCAAATTTCAAAATGATGTGTTATGACTGAAACAACTGAACCTCCATATTTACTCACAGATCAAATCATTTAGTGACCATACTAGGACTGGGCGATCTGAAGTACACCAAACCATAGTATACCAAAACAGTATTATGTGGTGTGCCCTCCTACAGTGCATATCGCACTGAAGTATACCAAACCATAGTATACCAAAACAGTATTATGTGGTTTACTCTGCTACAGTGCATACTGCACTGAAAGTACACCAAACCATAGTATACAAAAACAGTATTATGTGGTGTAAAGATAAACATAAAGATACACTAAGTTTATACTAACTTTTGGATGTCACAAAAGGCATCTCATTAATATATTGGCCATACTACTAATCTGCTTAACAAATTGTGGGTGTAAAACATCTGTACAGTACCAAAAAGTCGGTGTCCGGCGAAATGATTACTGCGCATGCGCGATACAATATTGTTGCGATATCATCCAGCCCTATTCCAAAATTTCTAATAATAATAAAATACAAGATGACAACCATCTAAACACTAATCTACTCTGTAAGTCAGACATATTGATATTATTAATTTCTTTCCAGATACTTTTCCTGAAAGGAAGTACAATGCCAGGCAGGGCGTGAAGCAGCCTGCAAAGGAACAAGACCCCAGCAGGGCTCTGGGCAGGACGCAGCTCTAAGAGGAAGCTAATGCTGCCCCCCGCAGCCGCGACTTCGCAGGTGTGGCACTGCCCTTAGTGAAGCGAAGGTGCCCTTCAGGAGCACGGAAGTAGCCAGTGTTTCAGTGTTTGGGTCGGTCCATGTGAAGGCCAGCAGGTCCAGCAGAGGGCTGAACCCACCAGTATCAAAGATCTATGTTTTCAGCTTTCAACACGAATGTTAAGGGTTGCTGTTCAAAGCAGTTGAAACACTTTCTGTAACAATTTTCAGTTTCAATAATCATACACTGCAAGAGCATTTCAAGAGAGCAATCAGCAGCTGACCTGATCCATCTCGCAGGATGGGTATGGTCTACTCACACTCAACTCCTACTCTATTAGGTACACCTGCTAGCTAATGCAAACAGCCCCATCCTCCAACAGCGAATCACACGGCCAGAACTCACTGCATACGGCACTCAGAGGAGGTCAAGAGGTTCACTTACTGTTCAACTAAACATCAGAGTGGATAAGACTCCTGACCTAAGCGATTTTGAGTGTGGTGTGACTGTTGGTGTCATACAGTATGTGGTGGTTCCAGCATCTGAGAAACGGCCACCCTCCTGGGAGTTTCCCACACACTGCATTGTCTACAGTTTACTGAGAACGGTACAAAAAAAAAAAAAAAAAAACAGATCCCGTCAACGGCATGTCTGTGGCCAAAAACACGCTGTTAACGAGGGAGGTCAGAAAAGAATGGCCGGCTTCGCTAAAGCTAACAGGAAGGGCAAAAGTGGGAAAAAGTAACAGCTCAGTAAAACAGGGGCATGCAGAAAGTTCTGTCTGAACACAACTCTCCAACCCCTGAAGCACAGATACAGTACAAGCTTGGTGAGACCTATGAAGTGCATGTGGGGTGTAAAACCCATTTCACGCATTTCAGGTGAAAAGATTCCAAGGCTGATTTTTTGCTGCTTATTGGGCCAGAAATAAACAGAGTATAGGCCTGGATACTCCTACAGCACATCGAAAGTGAGTCCAGTGGGCCCACCACTGATTTACGATCTTTTGTGACAATAGAATGGACTGCACAGCCTTAAGCCGGCAGAAATCCATGGCTGCTGTTTCCTGCATACTGCTACTGAGCTTTGCACAGCTAGTCCTGTATTCTTAGGCTAAACGTGCATCTCCGCTCACCAAAGCCATCGCTGGCAGATCCAGCATCGACAGGCATCAGAATTTATCATATGGTCTCGATGGAAAAAGCCTCATACCCCCCCCCCCTCCATGACTATGTCAGACAGAAATATTCATGTGGTCTGGGCCAGGCTGGTGATTCATCCATTTCATCTGCTGAGATGGTGCTTCACAGAGGTGGGGGGGG